CCCACTATTGGAAGATAGGATACTCGGCTAGATGAACCATTCGTCTTACCCAGTGTGGCCATTCTGACATTCTTATATAGAACTCAGATATATCTGCCCCCTCCCTCTCCCCACTGTAACCACTAGACCTCACTCCCCTCCCAGAGATGAGATAGAACCCAGGAGTCCTGATGGGGTCTCTCTCACCACAGAGTTAGTAACAAAGTAAGAATAAACATTAAAATTTTAAATCTAACCATTTACCTAGCCACTTATGTGACTTGCCACAAGATGTCAGAACATGTTAGTGGGTCTAATATTTATTTAATTTTCTTTCTTTTATATAGGAATTAGATACAGTGCTCCCGTCAGCTAATTGCTAAGTTATCTGCCAAAAAACTAGAGTTTTCAAGTGCCTAAGTAGCCCCTGGAATCAGGGTTCATGTTGCCCCCCCGCCCCCAAAATCTGAAATAGTGCTCCTGCTTATTGATGGAAGAATAGTAAAGAAAAATACCCAAGCCACCACTGTCCCACAAAAATTTTTGGTACAGACTTAGTTTTACCACTTCTGGTCATAACACTCTTGAGACCTACAGCCCCCAACTCACTCCAGCATGTTCTGTTAAAAATTAATTGTCCCTGATTCATCAGACCATGGGACCCTTTTCAGATTTTAAACATCAAAAGAGAAATTATCATTGCCCAAGGGCACACAACATGGTGTCTAATCTCAATGATCGTCTTTGGCTCTAAATTGTTGTTGAAATTGGGTTTGCCAGGAACCACTGTCTCTGTTGTGAATGGTCAGTTCTTGATGGCCAAGAGCCGTCTGCCAGCTCCCTGCAATTTATCTTATGACAGTTGTTCTTGCTCTATTAAAGTCTATGGACACATTCTGGCCTGAGTGCATGTGGCTGGATGGAGTGTAAGACAGGAGAAATTGGACCTGTGTCTTCAAGTAGGCTTCTGATTCTTGAAGACCTGCCTTGTGGTTTACTGTGTCCCAGCCCACATATTATAAACTGCTGTATAGTAACTGTAAGAAGAATCCCATTGCCCTTTTCAATCAAAGTCCAAGACTACCAAGCTCAGAATTTGTGGGCAGATAGTTAAGATGCATAGGCTAATACATTAAACGAGAGCTGAAAGTAATTTGTCTTGTGAGTGCAGGAAATATCACAGGGCATGGTTGTCCTCATCCTGAACTTTGTGGGATGATCCCAGTTGGAAATGGCCCACTCTGGAGCACTGTTTAAGTAGCTGGAAATTTTTTGAGGACATTGCACTATTATATCATAATGTGATGTTATGATTAGTGTGATGCTGATAATGCCAGCGTGTTGGTTTGATCCCCTTATGGGCCCCACCATCATATTACATCATGGTGACTGCTTTGAAGGTACTCTTGTTCTGTAAAACATATAATTCTTTACTGGCTGCAAACATCACAATAACTATTATAAACTGTAACATTTTGGACCGAGATAAATTCTGCCCTCAGCACAGTACAGTGGATTCCCACTCAGGTTGTGCAAAGATGATTATTAATAATTTGATACCTCATAGAGGCTTCAGCTGAGATCCAGGCCTCAGTTGCACCGGCCTTATGTGGCTCCCATATAGGGTTGCAACCAGATCTGCACCCTGCTCTGCCTATTCCTGGTCCCTGTCAGCATTGCTGCCCCCAGAGCCCCCTCACATGGGGTGGGATGGTGTGTGTCCAGTGGTTTCTCCTCTGCTCTAGTAGCTGGTTTGGCTCCAACGGGATCCCCTGTTGTTTCTTGCCTCTCTCTCCTGTGGGATTCCCTGGCTGGGGGGATTGTCAGCAGCGCCTTCTCCTGCTGACCACTGGAGTGACTGGTCCTTTCAACACACCCATCATCTAAGCCTTCACTATGGGGCCAGGAGGGCCAGCCCTAGGTGTTTTGCCACCCCGGGAGGTGCCCTGGAGTGGCCAAGCAAAAAAAACCCAAACCAAAAAAATGGCTGACTAGTGTTGCACCCCCCAGAAGTTGGTGCCCAGGGCAACCACCCTGACTGAGCATCCCTAAAACTGGCCCTGCACAGAGCCTCTGGGGGCACCCTAGTCCCAAGGGCAGGGCAAGAGCCAGCTGGGAGGCAGTGGAGGGGCTGCAGGGGCTGTGCCAGATCCACTGCTGTAGAATGGGATGGCCACCCCCAAAAGGTGCTGAGGCCTTGGGGGAGAAGTAGCTTACTTCTTGCCTGAACCCGATTGTAGAAGCAGGATTGGGTGGTGGGCCCAGCACAAACTCCTGAGGAGAACGGAGAGGAGCTGGCTGGTCCTCCCAGGATGGTGGAGGGGTGGTGACAGATGACTCACACTTACAGTCCTGGGAGAGGTGGAGTAAAGGCTCTCAGGCCTCCCTCCCTGAAATGGTCATCACAGGTTGGATCACTGGCCCCTCAGACTGGGATCCGGCCCCTAGCAGAGCCACACATGCCCAGGTGAGGTGGAACTCATGATGCACCTATGAGAAGTGGGGTGGATCACTTTAGACCCTAGTCATGATCAACTGATCCCCTTAAGAATATGGGACCATCTCTTCTCGAGGATCCAGTTTACAAAGGAGCCTGTTACTGGGGAGAGAGATTTTCCTGTCCCTTTGAAGCCAATGTTCAAGCCCCTAATTGGGAGATGAGAGGTCCAAAGCCCCAGAAGATACAGTCTTGATTTGGCTTTCTATCTTCCTCAGTCCTGCTAAGAGCCCCCTGCGGCCCATGTCCCCATCCCCACACAGGAACACAGAGCCTTGACACCTCCAGGACAGAGACTACCTGCAAGGCTGCCCTTATTTCTATTAATAGTCAATAGGATTCAAGTCTGTGTTTTATTATTATTAGCATTCACTATGTATTTTTATTATGAGCATTAATATTAAAATTGACTATTTACTATTATCATTCAATATTCATCATTATTATTAGCATTTACCATGGATTGTAATTAGCATTTGCTCTTTATTCTTAGCCTTAACTGCTTATTAGTTATTTTTAATTATATTATTCCTTTCAGGGTATTCTGAGCCCTATTTTTTCTCTTTATTATAAATTATTTATTATACTTTACTACTTTTAGGGTGAGCTGGATGCAGTTGGGGTGATTGGGAAGCAGAGAATGAGGAGCTACTGTGTTATTACTAATGTTTTCTCTGAATTTTACCAACTTCAGAGCTGGTGGGTCATTTTTTCTGCTGTGTGTCTGTTCCAGGACAAAGGAACAGCTTCCTGGAGGAGCAGACACTGAGGACCATGTGTCTGTTGGTGTGAGAGATGAATGTCCAGCAATGACACAGTGAACCTGGGCGTGGGATTGCTGCTCACAGACGGGCCTCTCCTATGTGGTAGTTCACTGTGGGCTTGGGAGTGTGAACTGAACCTTTCAATATCATGGTAACAGTTCCTGTATGTAGACAAAGTGGGCATATTTCCATTATTTGAATTGTGTTCGTACCCACAGGTCTGTCAGGATCAGGCCCCAGGATTGCATTGGGCACTGCTCAAACGCAGATGATTACACAATCCTTGTGAAGAAGAGGTGGCAAGAATCTGGCTGTGCCCATGTTACATCTGGGGAAGCTAATGACGCTTGTTTCTTGTGTCTAATCCAGAAAAGATGTCAGTAACAATGGAATAACTGTGGGCTGCTTTGTAGTATGGTGTGAAATGCACAATTGGACCACATTCTTGCCCTGTGCACTGGGGACTTCATAGCGACAATTACTTTGGTTGTGGCCAGGGTGATTTTCCCCCCATCCACTTGCAGGGGGAAGTGGAGATGTTTGGATCCAAATCCAAAGTTTAAGGGTGCTCAGGTCCAGGACTTTGGTTGGGGACCACTTCTACCCAACACCCCACCTCTTATGAGGAAGCCTCTTTCACCAAATATTCCTCTCGGCAAAGAGGGGCCAGATTGCCCTGCTCATCAACAGATTGGGTCTGGAGGAAGCACTGGTTCCCCAGTGGTCTCTGGTGAGTCACCTTGCCTATTGCCTCCCTGCCCAGTCCTCCTGGGCACTGCTAGCTAGCTCTGTACTTGTCACCCCTCAGCCACCTGTCCCCCTCGCCTCCAAGCCTGCTGGAGCAGAGGGAGCCCTTAGCAGCACTCAGCAGGTCTCTGCAGGGAAGGACTCTTGGAGGCCAAGCTCAGGTCGGTGACAGAAACTGAAGCTGCCATAGCATTAGAGCACCCAACACTGCGCCACTGGGTAACTCCCCCTTTAGGAGAAAGAGGGGCTCAAGCCCTACCGTTTTCAGGTGGGATGAGACCCTGCAGGACTAATGGGGACCCTATGGTGCTTCCGTGCACCACGCTGCTGCAATCTGCTCCCACTGCCAGGTGCACCCCCAGGCCCAGGGTAGGGTCTTGCCCTGCTCTCTGTAGGGTTGTTAATTTCGGTTGGCCATATTCCTGGTGCTTTCATCACATGAGAGAATCTTTAATTAAAGATTAATCTTTAATTCCTGAGCCTCCCCGACGATCCTGGAGCGTTGGCCACCCTAGTTCTCTGCCGCAGGGTTTGGGGCAGCGCTGAGCCCTCCTAGGGAGCATTTCGCGGGCCCCGTCGGAGCTGGCCCGGGACCTGGAGGCGCAGCAGGGAGCGGCCCAGGGCCCGTCGGGCAGCGACTGGCAGAGGAGCAGGGATGCGGGCGGGGAAGAACGATGCCGGTGCAGCGGACTGGCGGGCTCCGTTACGTCACAGCCACGGCGCGTGCACAGCGAGAGCCCAGAGCTGGGCGCTCCTGCGCGTGGCCAGAGGGAGGGGCGGAGCTGGGTGCAGAGTGGAGGTAGGGGGGCAAGAGCCACTATGGTTTCCTCGTCGTGTCACCCCTGGTGATGTCAAGCGGGACCCCCGTGACGTCACTGCTTTGGGGGCGGAAAGGCCTCCCGCGTGGCATGCGGCCCCGGCCCTCCACGGTAGGACTCAGCTACCTGGGGGCTGGGGCTGTCAGCGGCTCAGGGCGGGAAGAGGAGGTAGGACGCCTCAGGCTGAGGAGAGAACTACATCTCCCACCATGCTCTGCTCGCGCGGCCGCTTCCGGTGCAGGCAGCACTTCCGGCAGTGCGCGGCCGAGCGCAGACGCCTGGGTGAGCGGAGCGAGGTTCGGGGCGTGGGGACTGTCCGTGGCCCCAGCTATTTACCCCGCTCTCATGGGTCTGTCCGGCAGTGCCCCAGTACCTCGGGGGGCTGGCTGGTGTCGGGCTGCCGCGGTTACAGGAGGGTGTGGGGGAGGGGCTCACGGGCATTCGGCGCTTCTGCCGTGTGAAAGCGGGAGCAGCGACGTGTCCGCCTCCACGCGCGCGCAGCACCCTGCGGGGTGACCGCCCCTCCCCCCAATTTCTGCCACGATCTAGGTGATATCAAAACAACCCTCTTCAGCGCTCGGGCCACATGCGCACCCCAACACACTCTTTGGAGAGGTGCTAGGTGCAGGGCTAAAAGCGGAGCCCTGTGCTTTACTGCTGCTGCCCACTGGTGTCTACCAGCAGCAGTAATCACTGATGTGCAGGACGCTGAATGGTCCGGCGTGATCTCCTGGTAAGAAGCTGTGTTTAAAGGGATGTAGTGTGAGCGCTACAGGCGCCCATGAAACTTACAAAGCACCACTTGAAGCAGAATACTATTAGACTGCAAGTTCTTCAGGGTTCAGTCTATACTTTCCTGTACTGTTTGAGGAGCACGTTGTGGACACTATCAGAATACAAGTAATATATAACTATAATACACACATGCTGCCCTTTTGCACACACTGTTTTCTCCATTTTCTTTCTGTTCCACATGTGACTGTACTGTAATGTGTTTGCAGTGTACACACCACAGGGATAAACAGATGAATGAACACATTTTAAGAGGGCTTGCAAAGATTATTGAAAAAGGGCACAATTCTCTTCTGTTACACCAATGTAATTCCGTTGATGTGTATGGGGTGGCATTGATGGAAGTGAAAGCAGAATTTGGCCCAATGTTTTTACATTGTTAAACATGGATATAAAGAGAGGTTGTTTTAAGTTCTGCGGTGGCAAATTTTACTGGTGAATTCAACCCTGTTGAGAAGAAAGGGTAGATGAAATCAGCAATATTTCAGATGGAAGAGGATTCATCAGTAACATGAACACTGTTGTTCTGTAAGTGGTAGTTTAATAACATGGAGGGGGATACAAAGGAAAATTATGCTTGTAATTTCTTAAACAGCTACTGACATCTAATAAAAATAACTTCAAAGGGCACTATGTTTGGACCCAGTTCTGCTTCACTTTCATATTTTATTTCTCTACTTTTCTTTGAAGATACTCCCATCCTTAAAAAATAAAAATGCTCTAGTATAATAACATTATGGTCCCTAACATTGCAGAAACTCCTATTACATGTTGTATTGTGGAAACTTACGTCCTGATCCTGCAATGAGCTCTGCATAGGCCAACCTCTACACCCATGTAGAGTGCTATTAAAGTCAGTGGATCACTGCATGGGTTCAGTCTTCCATGGAGCTCATTGCAGGATTAGGGCCTTCCTGTAGAATGTTGTTGTTTCTTTAATGCATTTTTCACATAGATATTTGTTTAGCAATTTCTGTTCCTGCTCTTGTTTCTTAGCATTTCCTAACCTTTGACTGATAGAATTTGTGATTTTAATATTCTTTAAGGTAATTTTTTGAATCTATAATTTCCTAGGTATAACACCCTCCTTCCCCCAAAATTCCATTTTATGGAACCATATTGAATCCCCCACCTGCATAGGGCATCAGCACGGGTTAAACACAAGATTTTTAGACTCTACTGCAGGGGTAGGCAACCTATGGCACGCATGCCGAAGGCAGCACGCAAGCTGATTTTCAGTGGCACTCACACTGCCCGGGTCCTGGCCACCGGTCGGGGGGCTCTGCATTTTAATTTAATTTTAAATGAAGCTTCTTAAACATTTTAAAAACCTTATTTCCTTTACATACAACAATAGTTTAGTTAGATATTATAGACTTATAGAAAGAGACCTTCTAAAAACATTAAAATGTATTACTGGCACGCGAAACCTTAAATTAGAGTGAATAAATGAAGACTCGGCGCACCACTTCTGAAAGGTTGCTGACGCCTGCTGTACTGCTTGAACTAAAGCGTTACCAGATAGTGTTAGTAGGTTGCTGTCCTCTATGTGAACCTACAACTAGAGGGGAATATGACACATTTTCCAGTGTCTTGAACAGTTATTTGCTAAATAGCAGTGGAATGTTGGGATTCGATTCTCGTCAGACGTCACCAGTGTGGTGCTCTGCTCTATCCAATGTTGATAACAGTTGGCTGCGTGCGTGTGTTCCCTTTGTGTGCTGCCCTGGCTCTGCAGATCGCTGACACAGCAGACCCCGAGAGAACCCCTAATGACCACAGACTCCGATAAGGTACGAAGGCACCTGGCCAGGTTTATTGTCAAACGAAGCACAGTAATAGTTTACCGCAGACTCTAGTCTACAGGACATACTACGAATATGTGCTACTTGACAATGGACCGGCTCAGTCAGTGGTGGGATGCTCCACTGCCCCCTAGGCCAGACAAAGATATCCACTCAGAGGTGCATTCTTATACACAGGTATAAACAAGTTACACATCACTCCAGACGCATTGAGGTACAACCCCTCTATATGTTAGGGTGCTGCCTCTCTCCTGGTACATGTTGGTTCGAACAAACAAGTCTATCCATCATATTATCCTTTTGACTCTGTCTTTAGGATGGGTCAGCCTGTTCCCCATTATCTCTGTGGAATGTGTTCATACCAGGATGTTCTGGTGCCATCCTGGCACATGTATACGTGCAATTAGCAGCCTTCTTGCCAACTTCTGTGAGCAGGGCCTGCCTCTGACTCACAGCTTAACTTTGCTTTATGTTAGCAAAGTCTTGACCATTACTTTAGTTTAGGCCTTAGATCTCATACTGGGCCTCTGATACAAGGGTTTATGTTTCAGGGCCTCATCTTACTACATTCCCACACTTTTTGTCTTTTTATGGGGAGGATGTTTGCCCATCGTCCCGGAAAAGCATAAAGCATGGACTAAAGATAACTCAGTGGGCTAAACGCTCTTATGTGGTTACCTTATTTTACCATTCATACACTCATGCCCCACCTGTCTTTAGTCTGCACATTCCCTCGTACGACTGATGGACAGATTTTATTTTCCAATTGATTGTAGTCCCTTATAGTGGGCCTGGGAATGTTAGGCCTGGGACCATGACTGAGGAATGTAGTAGTATGATTGAACCTTAGAGGCACTCCCAAATAATTAATATATATGAATAATATGGATATGGCATATATATTTGTAGCGTATATGGGTATATATGTATAGTATGTATGTGTAGATTTCATAGATTCTAGGACTGGAAGGGACTTCGAGAGGTCATCGAGTCCAGTCCCCTGCCCGCATGGCAGGACCAAATACTGTCTAGACCATCCCTGATAGACATTTATCTAACCTACTCTTAAATATCTCCAGAGATGGAGATTCCACAACCTCCCTAGGCAATTTATTCCAGTGTTTAACCACCCTGACAGTTAGGAACTTTTTCCTAATGTCCAACCTAGACCTCCCTTGCTGCAGTTTAAGCCTATTGCTTCTTGTTCTATCCTTAGAGGCTAAGGTGAACAAGTTTTCTCCCTCCTCCTTATGACACCCTTTTAGATACCTGAAAACTGCTATCATGTCCCCTCTCAGTCTTCTCTTTTCCAAACTAAACAAACCCAATTCTTTCAGCCTTCCTTCATAGGTCATGTTCTCAAGACCTTTAATCATTCTTGTTGCTCTTCTCTGGACCCTCTCCAATTTCTCCACATCTTTCTTGAAATGCGGCACCCAGAACCGGACACAATACTCCAGCTGAGGCCTAACCAGAGCAGAGTAGAGTGGAAGAATGACTTTTCGTGTCTTGCTCACAACACACCTGTTAATACATCCCAGAATCATGTTTGCTTTTTTTGCAACAGCATCACACTGTTGACTCATATTTAGCTTGTGGTCCACTATAATCCCTAGATCCCTTTCTGCCATACTCCTTCCTAGACAGTCTCTTCCCATTCTCTATGTGTGAAACTGATTTTTTCTTCCTAAGTGGAGCACTTTGCATTTGTCTTTGTTAAACTTCATCCTGTTTACCTCAGACCATTTCTCCAATTTGTCCAGATCATTTTGAATTATGACCCTGTCCTCCAAAGCAGTTGCAATCCCTCCCAGTTTGGTATCATCCGCAAACTTAATAAGCGTACTTTCTATGCCAATATCTAAGTCGTTAATGAAGATATTGAACAGAGCCGGTCCCAAAACAGACCCACCTTATAGCCAAGCATAACCATGTTTTTCCAATCTGGTGTTGTACTCTGGCCCTTTTACTTTGGTGCCATAGATAGAAACACACTCCTATTAGGGCAATTGCAGTTATCACCTGTATCATCATTAGTAGTAGGCTGAGTGTTTTGAAATACTGGGATAGGCATTGTTATAGTGTATTCCACAGTATTATGTATATGAGAAGTAAAACAGAAATTTGGAGTAGTGAGACTACAAATGAGGCCTTTATATATAAATGTCTTGTAATTAGTTACTGGCCGGTACTGTGCATTCATGTTATGGGTTACCCTTACTGCTGGTTGTCACTCTTTGGTAAGCTTTGCTGGGCAGGAAACTGGAATGGCTAGATGCTCTGTTCCATGGATGCATTGCCCCATGATACACCAGTAGTTGATGTAGATCCAGTTGTTTTTATGGATGTTGTTTTTCAGAAAACCTACTGAATGGACAGTAACCAATGTATCAAATAGTGCTGTGTCAGGATTTAGTATTGGTACCCAGACACTGAACAAAAATGTTTTGAATAACACTTGCCTCAGTTAGGATGCAGTGTTACTGATCCCAAATTGTGACCAGTGCTAACGGGGAATTTATATACCTAATTTGTAATTACTGTGTAACAATTTTTTTTTAATCAATTTGTTTCTCCTTGCCTTCATGTTGTTTGCTGTCATTCGTTTGTTGCTTTTTATCTGTGTGTTGGTTAAACAGTTTAGCAAGGTTATGCACATTGTAAATGTTGTACAGCAATAATACA